TTGAGCACATAATATCTGCTCAATAGTTACCCATCAAAATAAAATAAAATAGAGGGGTCAGGAGGAAAAAACTTGTGGATATGGGCTAGAAACTACTCATTCTGTTTGGTCAGATCACTATTTTCACTGTATATACTTTCAGTACAGAGGAGTCTACCATCAGTTTTGTTTCAGCTCCTTCAGAATTTCAGATCACAAGTTTAATTCGGTTGTCATCTCTCTTTCATTTCCTTTACCTTGAAACAGTTCCTTAATCTTCCTTTGTGTTTCATGACATTGACATTTTTGTTAAGTACAGACTTTATAGAATGTCCCACAATTTGGTTTAGTCTGATGTTTTCTCATGATCTGTTTGAGGTTATGTGTTTTTGGCAAGGTTATCTCACAAGTAATAAATAATGTGTTCTTCTCAGTGTATCATAGCAAAAAGTACATAACGTTAAGATGTATGCCAGATCTCTCTACTGTGCAGTTACTTTTTTTCCTTTTGTAATAAGTATCTTATGGAGAAATATTTTGGCATTATATAACTATACTGTTATTTGTCTTTCTCCTGCTAATTTGTGTGATGAGTCTTCCTTGCCTTAATTAATTACCCTTAAATAGAACTTATTAGACATAATTTAGCTTGATGACCTGGTGAACATTGTGAACAAAGTGAACATTCCTTGTTAGGATGTGTCATAGTTAAATATACAAGGAGTAACTGTGGTGTTGAGCTGTCCTGGGCAATGTTGGAGAGAGACAGGCTTTGAGAACCAGAGGCGACCACTCTGGTATATATGGCCATTTCACGTACACCTCCGTCCTCAGGACTGTAGGGCTATTCATCTCTTATTCACTGATTTTTTTGCTCTCCTCTTCACTGTTGGGAGGGTACCTTACTCGTTGCTCCTTACATCATGACTGTTTAAGGTCACTAGCTCTATTTTATATAACAGTAGAGTTGAAATTTTTGTATTGATTTGCTTTCTCAAGGTGGATGGTCCAGCGTTAAAAATGCTAGGTTAATCTATCCAAAAAGAACTAGGTATAACAATGTTTGTTTTTCTCTTTTTCCTGTTTAAGAGTTGCTCTTTTTAACAACACATATATCTGTATTCTTTGCCCTGATGGGAAGGGAGCTCCTCTACAGCTCTGTGTTCTGCTCTTAGACAGTGATTATTCTTTAAGCTCCCTTCACCTTTTCATACCTTAGATGTTCTCATAATACTCATTCAATAGTTCTCCATCTAAATCAGATAAAATAGAGAGTCAGGAGGAAGAAAATTGTGGATATGAGCTAGATATAGTTACTGTTCATCTTGTTAGGGTCCAGATCACTGTTTTTCACTGTGTAATTTAGTATAGAGTGTTTACCATCAATTTTGTTTTATCCCAAGCACCTGTAGAGTAAAAATGTGATTTATAATATCTTTAGTATAACAAACTTTCCACCAAAAAGTAATTAGGCTTTCAAGTTTATTATAATGACATTTTAACAAAACATTTAATTTTGAAATATAGGAACTTACATTGAATTAAACAGGTTTTGGTTATCTAAAAAGGTATTTTATTTAAAGAAAGGTGGAACTTCATGGTTTGGAGAATAGTAGTTACTTGCAAATTACAAGTTTATAATTGAATACTGGCTTAATTGAATGCAGTTATAATTGAATACTGGCTTAGTTGAATACAGTTATAATTGAATACTGACTTAAGTTTTTATTATATAAGACATTTAATTTTAGTATTTAAAACAGTGATCTATACTTAAAATAACAAAAAAGTTAAATACAGGCATTCCTTAGAGATATTGCAGGTTTAGTTCCACACCGTCTCAGTAAATTGAGTACAGGCATACCTCAAACATATTGTGTACTTGGTTCCAGACCACCCTAATAGTGAGTATAACGTAAAGCGGGCTGTAATCTTTCTTGCTGGTGGAGGGTCTTGTCTTCAGTTTGTAATAAGACTAGGTAGATATGCCTTTATACAAATTGACCTTTGCCCTCTTTTGATTCTCTTATGGCATATATTGCTAGTTTCCTTATTTGGAATGCTTTATAGTCATTAACTATCTCTCTCTTTTTTTTTTTTTTTGTAGATAGTCTATATTCCTTTTTTTTCAAAATGGGGAGAAAAGCAATTAGAACTCTTAAGTTATTGAGTCTCTGTCCCTTGCTTGTACAATAGCGTGTTTTTTTCTTCTTTGTCTTAGTTTTAGGGACCTTTACCTTAGAGATCATCACCTATGTAAAATACCAAGTTAAACTTCATAAGGGATTTCTGTCCAAAAGGAACACCTTAGTTCCAACAGTGTACAAAGGAACAGTACTGGCCTGTCAAGCTAACTAAAGGTAATACATGAAGCACATACAGATGTTAGCCACAGAGGTTCAAGAGCCTTTAAATGACATTATATGTATACTAGTTATCCTTTAATATCTTTTAAAATATGATATTTAATTCAAACCAAAAAGTATAACTAATATCTAAGTTTAAAATACAGTTATGATCCTATGTTGTACTAGTGATTTCATACTTGTATGAAAATTTTCAGATAAACTCATACAGGAGAGAACTTCTTGATCTAAAAATAAAGTAACTCCCCACTTAGAATATGATGAATATGTATCAACTGTAAATATTAAAATATTAACATTACAAATGTAGTTGTGGAAAATAGAACCCAAATAATATGTATTTGCTTGGATTTCCTGTATTTTGCCTTGCAGATAGTGATTTACATGTGTTGATCACCAGATTTTTAAAATTATTTTTCAGTGTTAAAATACACATAACATAAAATTTACCATCTGACTATTTTTAAGTGTCCAGTTCTGTGGTGTTAAATACATTCTTTCACCCCCATTCATCTTCATTACTCTTTTTGTCTTGTAAAATTGAAATTCTCTACCCATTAAATAACTCCCCACTTACCCCTTCTCTCAGTCCCTGATTTTGACTATTCTAAGTATCTCATACAAGTCTAATCAGACAATATTTATCTTTTTGATAAATAGCTTATCAAGCTGGCTTATTTCATTTAGCATAATGTCCTCAAGGTTCATCCATTCTGTATGTAGTATATGTCAGAACCTCCTTCCTTTTTAAGGCTAAATACTATTCCATTGTGTGTATATACCACATTTTGCTTATCCATTCATCCATCAGTGGATATTTGCATTGCATCCACATTTTAGCTATTGTGAATCATGCTGATATGAACACGAATGTACAAATATCTCTTTGAGACTGCTTTCAGTTCTTTGGGGTGTATACCCAGAAATATAATCATCAGGTCATATGGTAATTCTACTTTAAATTTTTGGAAGAACCACCATACTGTTTCCCACAGCAGTACATTACCAAAAAAAAAGTACCATTTTCTATTCCCACCAAAAGTGCACAAGAGTTCCAATTTTTAACATACTTACCATTCTGTTTTTCTTTGTTTGATAGTAGCCTCCTTAATGAGTGTGAGATGATATTTCCTTGTAGTTTTGATTAGCATTTCCAAAATGATCAGAGATGTTGAACATCTTTTCATGTGTTTTTTGGCCATTTGTATTTCTTCTTTAAGGAAATGTCTGTTCAGGTCCTTTGCTCATTTTTGAATTGGGTTGTTTGTTGTTGAGTTTTATAATTTCTCGATATATTCTGTATATTAATCCTTTATCAGATATATGATTTGCAGATATTTTCTCTCTTTCTGTGGGTTGACTTTTTACTCTGTTGATATTTAGAACTCTAAACTTGCTTTCAAAAGGACAGCCCCTTCCCTTCTTAAGTGTTTAAAAATCTCATTGATGTAGAGTTTTCTAGCTGCTGTTTGAGGTGATGGTGGCAAGAATGGGCTCTAATTTTAACCTCCTGTTTAAATGTTGTTTTGAGCTAAGTACTATGTTATTTTTAATGAAGAAAAGGAAATCAAATCTGAGAAGAGGGGGAAGAGAAAGGACTACCTTTTAGGAATCAGCCTTTGAGAACTTGTATCAACCAGTACTTGTACAATACAGTTTAATTATTTATAGCCTTGGCCGATGGGACTCGGTTGGAGTGTCATTCTGTCCAACTTTTTGGCATCTCTGGGCTGCACTGGAAGAAGTTTTGTCTTGGGCCACACATTAAGTACACAAGCACTAATGAAAACTGATAAGTTTAAAAAAAAAGGTTTTAAGTAAATTTATGATTTTGTGTTAGACTGTGTTCATAGCCATTCTAGGCCATTTGCAGCTCACAGGCCACTGGTTGGACACTCCTGCAAGGTCGAGGTTCAGTTCCAGTCAGGGCACATGCCCAGGTTGCTGATTTGGTCCCCTGGTCAGGGCATGTAGGAAGGGCAACCAATCAGTGTTTTTCTCTTACATCCATGTCTCTCTCCCTCCCATCCCTTTGCTCTAAAATCAGTAAGTATGTCCTCTGGTGAGGATTAAAAAAAATTAAAAAGCAGCCCTGGTTGGTGTGTCTCAGTTGGTTGGCGTGCCCTCCCCCTAACCAAAAGGTTGCAAATTCTATTTCTGGTCAGGGCACATACTAGCTTGTGGGTTTGATCCCCAGGTGAGGTACATGCGAAAGTCAACCAATTGATGTATCTCTCTCTCCCCACCTTCCTCTCTCTCTAAAAGCAATAAACATATCCTTGGGTGAAGACTTGAAAATGATGGTTTAAATTTTTATCAGCTAATTATAGACTGGAGCTTTCTTGTGTCCAGTGTCAGAACCTGCATTTTCAAAAAGCAATAAACCAGACTTCTAATGAATGTTATGTGCTGGGCAGCACTTAAATATAGATAAAATACTTGCCACCTAGATCCTACATACATTTATTTATATACATGGGCATATGTTTTCCTTTACGTAAGTGTATGTCTGTATGTATATAAATCTTCAAATGAATAAATGCATAAATATACATGGTATTCTAGCTTACTGAATTAGAAATGTAATTCAGTTTACTCCCACAGAATAAGATTGAAGATAATGAGAAGTGAATTAAAGCTTACTTTCTTTCACAGAATTCCTCAGAGAGAGAAGACTGTAATAATGGCGAACCCCCTAGGAAGATAATACCAGAGAAGAATTCACTTAGACAGGTATGAAATTCAGTCTTACTTAAAAGGCTACCAGCAACAAAACAAAAGACAGGAAACCCTTAATTTGCCATTCATTAAGCATTGGAGCTTAAATTGGAGCTCTGGCCCTGATTGGTATGGCTCAGTGGGTCGGACATGTGCCGCACACTGAAAGGTCGCTGGTTCGATTCCCCATCAGGGCACATGCCTGAGTTGTGGGCCAGGTCCGCAGTTGGGGGCGTGCAAGAGGCAACTGATAGATGTTTCTCTTGTACACTGCTCTTTCTCTCCCTCTTTTCCTTCCTTCCTTCTCCTCTCTCTAAAAATAAATCTTTTAAAAAATGAATACTCTGAAGTTGGTATGGCTACACCCATCAGTTTCAATCAGGTAACATTGTTTAATCTTCAAAAATATCCTAGGTCTACAAGCAACAGACAGTCAATTTGCTATGAGTAGTGAAAACTAAGTCAAAGGAAACTTTTCTTGTTTAGGAAAAATAACTGGAAATGCTTCTTAAGTGCAGTGATAGTAGAGTAGTTGACTTTAAACTTTGTCTTTTAAGATTCTCCATACATTAAAAATAATAATCAGAAGGGATCTGCCTATAATGAGTTAGCTCCTTCTAGTCTGAGTAATATTTGTTTGCCTTCCCTAGAGTAAAGGCCATTACTGATGAAAACTTGAAACAGGTTTTTTATGCACCACTGTCTCCACACTCTCCAAAGATAACAAATTTTATTTAAAAGTTCAATTCCATAATGCTTTCTTTTAAAAATTAAAATGTTCAAAAAATATTTGGTCAAAAAAATTTGTTCTTCTTACTACGTGTAGCAACAACTTCTAACATCTTCCATCTCCCATTGGCAACAAAAACAAATTCTTAGTGTTGTCAGAGAATATGTATACCACCTATTCATTTTTTTCCACAACATTTTATTTTTTGTACTTTTTTATTCTTTCAGTTATTACCACCTATTGATTTTTAATATAAAATTGGATAAGATGAGCACCAGCAGTAAAGAATAATTCCAATTTACTTGTATTAATGGCATTATTCTAGAAAAAAGAGGATCTAATATTAGTTGAGTACCCACCATGAATCTTATGCTTATTTCGTTTAGTCCTCATAATAACCCTGTAAAGTTGCTAGATGTAATTTCCCGTTCATAGATGAAGAAAATGGAGGCTGAGAGAGTAGATTGTTTATTTAGCTAGTCAGTGATTTGAAGTCCAGATCTCAGTGTTGCCGGTGTGCTTCTACTTCTGCCTTCTGACTCCAATTTGTATACAGTGTTTATTTGAGTGAAAAGTACTTAAAACTGTGGCACTCATTTTTTATTTACTATATGTTACACCATTATTGGGAAATAAACAACTGATTTGTAAATGTAAATAAATAGGACAGTATTGAATATTGAAATTTGGAGGTGGAGACAACTGTCAGAAAACAATGACACAACAAAAAGTTTTGGCAACTTTATTTAAGCTAACAAACGAATTTTAACTCTACAAAGTTATAAATTAATTTTAATAGGCTTATCCAGATGGTCCATTTGGAAAATGGATAGGCTGATCTGTTGAAAATTAAACTAAATTTATCTCTCTCATACTTCAAACTGAAGCGAGAGAGAGAATCGTGCCTATTAAGTCCAGCACATACAGATGGACCAGCAGGTCACACATGGGACTAATCTGATTCATTTTAAAAATAAATGCATACATTATTGAATCATTTTCTACTTGCGAGATCTGTTGTGTGCAGTATTCAAAAGGAATTTAATGTTTTTTTTTTCCATTGCTTTTTAGCAGGTTCACTTCACCCCCTCCACTTTAATTTAACCATTTTTGTCTTTTTGTCCCCTCCTGGTGCTACAAAATGATTTTTCTGATTCTGTCAGTGTTGAGATCCAAGCTCTGGAGATTAATTAGGTCATGAGGCTCTCCCCACCCCCTTTCTTTGTAAAGGGTTTTATCTCCATTCTCTTTGTGAAGAGCATGAACTCAGTGTTCTTGGAAAGAGAAATGGCCTTTAGAAACAGGGAAGTAGGAGATCCTCCTGGGGCCCTCTGAGTCTTTTAGCTTCTGGGTGTTTTAACAGCCCCATGAATGCAGATTTGTAAATTTATTGCAGTGCCATCTGGTTTTTTGCTCGAACCAGATTACTGTTGGCTTGTGTCTGTCTATTGTGGTGGTCACTCCCTAGGAGCTCGCCCTCTCAATCTTAGGGAAGAGCGATGAATAACAGGGGTCAATAGAAGCGGGTCACAGGGCAGCTGTCCAGGACTGCCCTGAACTTGATTACCCCACCACTGATTTTTTAAATGTAGGACATAATATATAAGCTGTTTAAACCCCCTCTTTTCTCTATTGCATATGGCAATAATGAAGTGCCATTTGCTTGTGTTTTCTTCTCCCACCCTGCAGCCCCCCCCTTTAGTAAAGTTATGTAGGTAAAAAGAAGCCAAGGCTGCCTTTTTAGAAACCTAGTATTGATGTAAGTAGGATTTGTAACTTAAGATTCTCTTGTACATATTTTTAATAGGATTTCAGGAACACTTTTGCCATTGATTTTAAAATGCTGAGTTACATTCTAACAAGTTTAATAATATTTTAAACTAATTTTATAGTTTATATATTTTATTCTAAAGTGTGGTTTTACCATTGTTGATACAATATGATCACTGTGTGTTTAACTTGGAAAGTTATTTAATTATTAAGGGTATCATTACAATTCTTACAGACATTAAGAGGATAATGGAATATTATAAACAATTTTAAACCAAAAATTTGGCAACTTAGATGAAATGGATAAATTCCTTGAAAAATATACAACACAAGGTGAAACAAAATTTGAATAGCCCCATGTCTATGAAAGAAATTGAATTAACTATCAAAAGGCCCATATGGCTTCACTGGTGAGTTCTATCAAATATTTAAGGAATAAATAACACCAGTCTTATACAGATTCTTTCAGAAGATGGAGAAGGACTCTTCTTGACTTGTGTTGTGAGGCCACCATAACCATGATTCCAAAACCTGAAAACGACATTAGCAAAAAAGAAAATATTGAAGGAGAAAGTCAGAAGACACTACTTCCTGCATTACCCAGTCATTTTGTATACTTGTTTTTCCATTTCATTTCCAACATTAGAAGGCAGGAGAGTTGGGATGGGGGGAGCAATGTATCCTTTTAAATTTCTAATAATATAGATTAATCTTTCAAAATAATCATACCTCTTGGCATTAAGTAAAGTATGAAGTTTTATATAAAGAATGTGCAAAGTAGCTACAATTTTCTTTCTACTTTTATTCCTAAAATGTGAAGCCAAGGAAACCATAGCAACTGTTTTTATAGCTTTTATTCATATCTGTAAACAAGGCCAAAGGCCTGGGAGTATACATGAAAGTACTCATTACTTTCTGAAAATGTAGCCTTACAACATGCAACTCCTTCTTTGCTTCATATTGGCGCTAATAGGATCTGTCAGCCCTGCCTTTCTCTGTAATTGAGTAAATTGTGACCTCTGTCTAATCCTTCCCCCATCCCCCATTCCCTTTGTGTATGTGTCCACTTACCATCCTGAGAACGTGGGCAGTGATAAATAAAGCATTGAGTAGAGCTCTCTCAATGCTTTGAAAGCAGCATGATGCCAGCTCTCTAGTTATATTTCTTTAAGTGTTTACGTTTTTCTGTATTCTTTCTCTTGTGTAGCTGGAACCCTGGGGATGCAAAGCCATGAGAGAGGCCAAGAAGCTAACAAAGTAGCTGTCTCCCTTGTTAGCTTGTTCCTTTATTCTTTAAAAACAAGATAAAAACCATCTGGCTCAGGGCATTACATTTTCCTCCCTCATGCACCTCTATAGATGGAGACTTCACCTGCAGTGAGGGTTTACATTGATTAGGGAGGGAGCAGTAATTCAAGCTTCCATCCTCTTCAAGGATACTTTGCAGTCTTTAAAGGTGCTGGCCCACTGAGTTAAACTGTCAAGGGAGGATAAAAAAGTATCTTCATCCCAGGAGGTAACAGCTGCCAGGTTTTCAACACCTTGCACGCTGTTGGAAAAATGTCACAATTGTCAGCTGAAAGAAAAATGACTCTCTTGTCATGTTCTGTTAATGACTGGGCCTTATAAAAGGAACTACATAAGTCTTTAAAAGGAGTAAGTAGCTGTTTTCCTTTCCTACCATACCCATCCTCCCCAAATTCCTATGTTTTTGTAAACATTACCGTGGAGGAAATCCACCAAAAAGCGCGCACACACACACACCACACCACACCCCCCAGCCCCAGCAGCAAAGAACTTAAAGTGAAAACATCCCAGGATAAGCATGGAAGTGACTGGCATAGCTCCTTTATACAGTTGGATGGCTGGGAGGAAAAAGCACACCACTGACACAGAAAATGACATTATAGTGTGTATTAACAAAACAACAACAACAAAAAGTCATTCATAAGCCAGTGAACTGAGAGAAAGCATACTGTATTTCTGCTCTTTGGAGGACAATTTGTTTTCAAGCAGCATCCAGATGGGTAAATACCATGACATTTCTTTTTTCAAGAGAGCCACTTCGTTTCTTTCTTTAAAAACAAACTCACTGATTTACTTCCTTTAATAGCTCTGCAATGTTTATATATGATTGCATTCCCTTCTTTCTGATTTGATTGATGGGGGGAAAGGTTTAATGAAGTCTCTGATATCAGGCAGGCAGGGTTTTTTTTTTTTTATTTGTTTTAGGTTAGTCATTTTAATTGTACTGAGTAATTAGAAGGTACACATAGCCAAGGGAGCTTTGTTCTGATAATTGCTCAAGAAAACCCATTCTCTATCTGCTGTTGCTTTTTGTTAAGACATTTCTCCCCCTAGTGGCAATAGTAAGCACTTTGACTTGGCAGTAGGTAAGGTGTAATTGCAATGTGACAAACTATACTTAAGGGACTATCTTGTTAATACTTTAGTTTGGGGGTTTGGCATTATTTCATTATATATGTGTGCTTTTTTTCCCCTACGAAACTTCGTA